CTACTGCCGCAAGTGTGGAATAGGAAGAGGTGGTGGGGTATATTTTTTAGAGTTTTTTTGCTCTAGCTTTTTTACCCTCCTGGAATTTAGCTATAACAATCTGGCAACCCCACTAATTCAGGAGAATTAGACAGAACCGATTATTAATCTAAATTAAAAAAAAATCAATGATGGATAGACAAGGACAAGGTATGATAAGACATTTTTATATAAACATTATAATAAAATTATCAAACTTAAAAAAACATGTATCTTGAGAACAAAGACTGGCGTTAGATAGACACCTTTCTTTCCGGATTAATTAATTACGCCTATTTTCGAATGTCGTAGTAGGTAGTTAAGTGTAAGTAATCAACGAAGGGCGGTATGAAAAGTAGATGTCAGACAATAAGTTTAATGCTAATTAGTAAGTATAATAAAACTCCTGATTATGCCCTTATCCTTCGTCTCATGACAAAATTTTAATCACTTCCTCGCTCTTTATTCTTAATTGTTATGGGTACGATGTGAAGTCAAACATTTCCTTCCTCTACCTATGCTTGTTTTTATTTAACCATGTTTCGTATTCGTGTCTAATTCTACATTTGAAATATTTATTAAGATACTCTAAAAAATGTCTATACCTATGTGGCGGATTCATCTCTCCATTCCATACATACAAGGCGTTTCGGAAAAAATAAGGATAGGAAAACAATATAACATACGAACATCTTTCAAAACACAAAATACATCTTAGATCCATTTTATCACATACTAAACCGAATAATCATCAAATACAGAACAACAAACAAAAATGTAATATACCAAATACCATGTGAATGCAATAAATTTTACATTGGTGAAACATCTAGACCATTAAATGTTCAAATTAAACAACATAAAGATTATTTAAGAAAGGGAGATTTTAACAAATCTAAAATTTGGCAGCATTCATGGGACACAGGGCACAGAATAAATTTTAATAACGGCAAAATTATAATGAAAGAAGCGATAGCCTCTAAAGAAAAATAAAAGAGTCTTTTTTAATACAATCTAATAAAAATAAATGTAGTGCTCATGCATTTGTAGATGTAAGTGAATGGCAATCGCTTCTTTGATTTTAAAGAACATAAATAAACATAACATACGTAAAAATTAAAAATAATCATACAGAAAGTTTGGGGCTTTTTTTGGTTTTACCTTATTAAGTAATTGTTATCAGGTAGTAATTGTTAATTTTGAAGTTTAACTTGATATAATGTCATTTTAACAGAACGTCAACGGTTTTTGTAGATCTGTTTTACGTATCTGTTTTAAAAAACTAAAGTGTTCTCGAATAGTTGAATTTAAATAGTTTTTTTCTTTACTCTTTGTATTTTTTTGCTTCTAACCACAGAAAGAGATAAACTTTCCGAAACGTTACCCTTTTTTTGTTCGTTAGGCAAATTTGTATATCTGTAAACCTAACTTCTGACAAGTAGTTTCCGTTTGGGATTATAGTACGTTGATATTAGCATATCTAGAAAAAAAAATTATAAAGTTTTGATATGTTGAGGTTATACGTACTAAAAGGAGACTTCTTAAAATCAAAAGAGTTCCTAACTGTAAAGTATGAGCTTCACCCCCAAAAACCACCCCCAATACGCACTGCGGTGGTTTTTCTCGTTTTTCTCGAAAAAAATTAGTGGCACAGAAAATTTTATTCTTGTCAAAAATATACCTCATAAAATTTTCTACAAAAAAGGTTCTATTCATTATTTATATTTATCCAATGCATTTCGAGCAATAACCGTTTGAAAAATGGAGTACAAAAAAATACAGGTCGCCTTTCAAATTATAGACTCCCAAGGTATTTTAACGTGCTAAATATACACGCAACAGATATAATACTGTATAATATAAACGAAAACATTGCGTATTCCACTAAACTAATATTCATACTTTCATCTACATATTGTCATCTAAACCTAACCTAACAACCTAACGTCACGTTTATGTACAACAGAATCGCCCTGAGAAAAAAGCGAAAAACCATCGAAGGGCGTATTGGGGGTAGTTTTTTGGGGTGAAGCTCATACTTTAAAGTTAAGAACTCTTTTGATTTTGAAAAGTCTTCTTTTGGTGCGTCTAATCTCAACATATCAAAACTTTATAAATTTTTTCTTCTATTCAGCTATTTTAGGTCTAATATAAATATACTATTAACGCAGAAGTGTTGTAGTGTAGTGAAATAACTATTTTATTTTGTAGATTTTCTTGCAGTGGCGAAATACCCATATAGGATGTTTTGGACTTAATATACTCTGTTTTACGATTCAAGTACGATTTCGACAGACGATGACAGAAAAAAGGCAGATGACCATTCATTTATTCAGTTAGCTAATAGTTAGCATAAGTTAACTATGGATGGGTGTATTATATTTGTATACCTACATCCGGCATAAGTCGGCCTTCTTGTTGTTTTTAACCAGTTTTATTGATTTATTTAAAAAATTACAGAACATATTTCAATATTATTCTCGATATTATTGGAGTGACAGAACGATGAACGATACACGGACGCAGATTCATATAAACTCGGCTTAAGATTTTTGTGACTTCTCAAATGCTTGCCAAATTATGTCAAATAGAAAAAATAATAAATATTTTGCATTTTGGACTGTATTATTACGGGTTTTGTGCTTTTTAAAGTTTAGTGGAGTAAAAATCGAGGGAAAATTAAGTGTAGAACCAGAGCACAATTTATAGTTAATATTCGGTGCCCAGAGACACAGTTTGCCAGAGAGTTTATTAGCCACCGTTAAAGTTTTATACCAGCTCGTATATTATGGTACTAAAAACTGGGGTAGTTGTAAAATGACATCACACTAATAGATTAAGTGAATAATAGATTCGTATTTGAATATTAATTTCGAAAGGTGTTTAAAAAAGTAAGAGTAAAAAATTAGGATTAAAAATAATTAACTAACTTTTAAAGCATAAATTTCAGTAAGTGTTATTATTAATAAAATATTTTGTCTTATTTACTTTTGTGCCATATTAAAAAAATATTTGTACAGGGTGGGTCAACTTCGACGCTTTTAAATGGAAACACCCTTTTCTATAGGAGGTAGACAAAAACTAATATCGGTGTCTGGAGCTCAATTTTTGTCAAAAACATGATGGTGAAAACCGATATCTGTTACCGTTTCGGAGTTACGGGGTGTTTTTCAAAAATATGCATTTTTAACAAATCGCTGTAACTTTTTTGCTATGGAAATTTTTGTATTTTTATGAAAACATTTCCAAAGCACCTTTTTACGTAGAATTTAATGGTTTAAATATAATTTTTTAAAAATTAATAATTTAAGAATTATCAACAGAAAATTTGATTTTTTATATGGGACACCCTGTATATTTTTAATTTATTGAAAATAATTTAAAATTACCTTTCCAAAAATATAGCACACTTGATGTTTTGCTCGATTTCTCTTCGAAATATAGAGTTTATAAAAATTCGCCCGCTTTAAATAAGTATAGGCTTTGAACGGCATCGGCTGTAATGCAAAAAAAATCTAGCTGTGAGCATCAATTAAAACGAAAATAATATTTGCTATGAGAGACGCAGAATTTTATAACAATTTAAAATATATTTAACCAACATCAACACATTTAAACTATATCTAGTAACAATAAAAATAAATAGCAAACCAAGACATGAGATTTTGCTACAGGTGTTCGACATATCGACTGTCTTCTGTTATGGACAGACGGGACCGTATTTGAACATCGCGGAATTCGTTAACTCAGTGGGGGTGAAAGGTACCCTCTCATAACTGCTAAGTATTTCTAATTCTTGTCTAGATTATACGGAAGAATAAGGAACCGTTATTCTTCCGCAAATATATCCATAGGATTAGATCCATGGGCACTAAGCCAGGCGGCCTCGACGGCCAACGGCTTACCAAAAATTTGCTGATAACTTCAGCGTTCAGAGGCGGTGCGTCGAAACCATTAAGTTTTACGTAAAAAGGTGCTTCGGAAATGTTTTTATAGAAATACAAAATTTTCCATAGTAAAAAAGTTACAGCGATTTGTTAAAAATGCACATTTTTGAAAAACACCCCCCAACTCCGAAATGGTATCAGATATTTGATGTGCAGTTTTCATCATCATGTTTTTGATGAAAATTGAGCTCCAGACACCGATATTAGTTTTCGTCTATCTCCTATAGAAAAGGGTGTTTCCATTTAAAAGCGTCGAATTTGACTCACCCTATACATTAGTTATGGTCATAAATATGATAAGATTTTTCGATCGATTTTATAGATTTCTTGTATGTGTGTTTTGTTTGTTTTGTTTAACTTACTTATTATTTTTCTGCATAGTTTAAAATTGACAAACTTTACAAAAAGCATATTGTCCAGCCTAGGAGAGAAATACGTTTATTCCCCCGTATTTAATTTTTTCCTGGCAACATTGCATTGATGTATTTTATACAGGAATTACGCGTTTTAGAAAGAAAAAAGCAGTGAAAATCCATTGTTTCTAAGCCTAGTTTTCATGCATACGAATTTCGACCGAATTTTTTGACCGAAAAACTAAATGGCCGAACGAAATTTCTAAAAAGATAAAAATGTTTTAACGATTATTTCGGATGTTCTGATCTGCCACATTAAATTAAGTAATAAATTGGTAGGAAAATGCGTCTAGGGGGGAGGCGGGTTGGTTAAAGAATACTAAATACTAACAACGTTAAATCAACTAATTGAATATAATTTTATTTTATATCACATTTTATCTTCTTATTTATAAATTTCCCTCGCCTCCCGTATTCCCTAACTAAACCTCCCGTATTCCCTCGCCTCCCGTAACAGGATGCAGGCATTAAATTTGCAAATTTTAACATTTATTCGGATGTATGAACACTAGGCGTTAGTCGTATCGGAGAAAAAATATAATATCTCCTGAACAATGCAAAAGTTTAGAAAGTGTAAGTGTAAAGCAGAGCAGTGTTTATATTTTTCTTTGTACATACTTACTTCTAACATATTTAAACGTTGCGGATCACATAGATCTCTACATCCAATTTCAGTGCTCATGTACCAGCCATTAAAAGGAGCACCAGTGAATTGCAAACCACCACAATCAAACATCATATTTGACACGGCAGGTAAAGCATACCATTTCAAATCGAGGGTCTTAAACCAATTCAACCTAAAAAAAGTTAAAATAAGATAATCATATATTAAAGCCAATTCGAAATTCTTTCGTTAATCATTAAAATGATGGGTGATGGTGAAAGATTACTTTTATCTTATACATTAAAAAATAAAGGTAACTTAGAAATAGTTTTTAATTACAACCTTTTTTGTTCAACTCTTAAGAGAAATAGCTAAATGTGTGAAACGCATGGTGTGAACCCGGTCGTCGAAGTATTGTACCGCATGAGTAACGTTCTACGTTGTTTATATTTTTCATTATTAGTCCTTTGTTTGTTTCATTAAATAGTTATAAATTATTTGTGAGTGTTTATTGGTCTATAGGCATAGTGTTACATGTATATTATACAATTAAATTAAGGGTTATTTAATTTGATTCATTTACAATCACATATGTACTACTGACATTACCGACTTTTAAAAAATTTGCAAGTGTCAAATTATCTACATTTCTTCCCTCTTCCATTTCACTCACCCATTTCCCTCATCCATTTCCCTCACTCGGTTTTTCTTATTTCTCGCCTCATTTAATTAAGCAAAATATTCTTGTAATATGTTTATTAAATTCTTATCTAATATCAACAAAAATAAACAAGATTAACAATAATAATTGAAGATTTTAGTACATTTTTATTTGTTGAAGGTAAAAATGCTAGACTTCTTTGGCTTAAAACCTACATTCTGGCGTTTTAAAAAAGCGACGAGTTTGTGATATTTTGATATGCCAGTCTTTTCCCTTAATTCTAGCATTGTCCGTATTATGCTGTACGTAGCCCAGAGATATAAAGAGAGTAGATGGCTTTTTCTGCCTTGCCATGTCGCTAAATATGTCATCAATACCATAGTATAAGGAAACTAGTAGTTTTACCCCTTGTCAAATCCTTTGTTCTTTTTTTGCCACTTTATATGACCTTGTTCTCGCCTCCCGTGACCACTGACGTAGCTGTATAGTCGTGGTCTATTAACTAGGCAAAGTATAGTCGTGGCACTCGCCATAGTTTCACAGATATGTATTTAGGAAAATATGAGTTCACAATAAAATAAAATAAAAAAATTGATCATCGAGTAAAAACTTGCTGGAAAACAGAATATTTTCACATTTCGCGTAGGTAAAAATTCTTCTGTATCTGAAAATCTTCTGATTGGAAGAAATGCGGAAAAAATATATGACATATATTTTTATATTATTATCTATTTCAGAGATTTACTACAACTTTTTTTTGATTTAAAACAAGTTTAATTTTCTGTACATAACTGGATTCGGCATAAAATTTTGCATATAGTACACCGTCTTTATTTAAAGCACACTGCGGTGTGGCCATTCTATTTCTTATTTACTAAAACTTTGGTTAAAAACATTATATACGAAAGGTGGTAAAAAACTAGAGTGAATATAACTTTATTAATACTTAGCTATGTTTTCTTAAACACGAAGGATACCAGAATAAGTTCGTGTAGAAAAATTTCCTTTATCATATACAGGATATTTTTTAAGGCGTCACCAAAATCGTAATATTTAAAATATTGTATCTCATTTTTTTTAAATGCAACACCTTGTATATTATTTTTCTTTCAGATGTAGAATTAAAAGGCAAACATTTTTTGTATTTAAATTGTTCTTAAATTTTTAGCCGTTTTGCAAATATTTTCTGTATTTCATTACATATGGAATTTCCAACGATAAAATATTAGACATAGATCATATTAGGTGGCTTTGATAAAAATTTACTGTTTAAAGAGCCATATGTAATATAATACTGCGAATATCTGCGAAACCGTTAAAAATTTAGAAACCCTTTAAAATTTTTTGTGACACCCTGTATATAACTAAATATTTTAGGATACGCCCCTTTATAAACCTTGAAACATTTGAATAAATTTTTGTTCACATCTTCGACAACGACGACGATATTGGACTTCCTCGCACTAATGGGTCACCCTGTATATTTAAGGTGGTTTAAAGCTAGGTGTGGCACTTTTCTTCCCTCAAATATAAACTCAATATTTTGTCTATAATATTTTGAATATTGTTATATTACGACCACTTATAATAAAATATAAATAAAAAAACATAAAAAATACAGTCCACTAAATTTATAAGAGATTATGCTATTATAAAATTCTTTCAATTAAAAAATATGAATAACTTGCGGAGACTTTAGATGTACAAAATATTTACTCTAAAATTGTTTCAAAAATAAATCTATATAAATTATCTCATAAACTATTATTGGAATGAAAATTTTATGGCAAATCCACTGACCAAAAAATATTTTCATGCGCATATTTGAGACAACCTGTATATCTAAAAAACTATTTTTAAAATCTGCCCACATACTAAAAAAATAATAACATTTAATTAACTACATAATATCTCAGCTTCTAAAATAACCAAATATAATTAAATGTTAATTGATAATTATTATCAGCTTGCCGATTTATAACCGATGGAAATCTAAAAAAACTCAAAGAACAATTTTTTGAATTATTACTACAATTAATAGCAGCACACAGTAATGCACTCATTTTTTATCAATCCGTCTCTGTGCTGGAACGCAACGCTCGAACCTCGCAGCTCGACGGACGGAATTCAACTGAAACGCTTTGCAACCTGCCGATATTCGACAGCTTGCAAAAACTGGCAGAAAATATTTGCGAGAGTGCAACTACTCTTTTCCTTCTACTATGGCAATACTGTCTCCGAAGCAATATTCTTAGCATTTCTTTGGACACACCATTTTTCGTATACTTTCAATGCTATTTCATATCGCCCCCTACTTCTCTCCGGAAGTAAACTGTCTTCTGCTATTTTTGCAGCTTCTGTAAGTTCTGGTGGAGTACCAATATTAAAGTAGTCTTCATTATCAGAACTTTCCGACATTCTGGCTTTCTATGTTATATAAATTCGAAAAAGCGAACGAGAATTTCAAAACTGTCACTTAGTTGTTTGTTTTGCTGTTGAAGGTTTGCACCATAACAACCACTGGTATCGGTAACTATAGATATGGAAATGCCAAAACAGAAAACGACAAATTTTCGCATATTTATTTTTTTTCAAAATAAAATACTGTCCCTATTTTTTAATTAATGATGTGGTTGTAAATAAAATAGTATACAAACCTCGAAGGAAAGTTTTCATTATTGTCTCGAGATCTAGTTAATCTCTCGACAGTAATGAAACACTTCCTTCCTCGGTATGTAATATACTATTTTTTTATAATTTAGAAAATTTGTTGATACGTTTTCAACTATTAAAATAAACCGATAAAAGAAACGCTTAGAGAGGAAAAACGAAGTTTTTTATATTTTAGGTATGAAAATCTTTTTTTGTTTTTCTTTCGTAGTTTCAATGAAGAATCTTTAGAATATTGCTCATTGCGAATTTTTAAAATGAAATATTAAAAAACTAATCCGTTGGTAGTTTCGTTTCTATCCTGTTCTTCGGTATTTTTGTGGACAGAAATAAAAAAGAAAATATCGATGTTTTTAGGATCGATATTTTACCTAAACTAATCGCCACTAATTAACTGCAAATAATTAACTATAAATTCTTCAATTACTGGCAGATCGACCTTTCCTTTATATCTCAAAACCAACCAATATTTTTAAATATCTTCTTTAGAGTGTTTCGGAATAAATATCAAAATCTGACATTAAAACAACTCAACCTATTTACAAATTAGATATATATAAGGCAAACATAATAATTAACAAGGAAAAAAATAGCTTTAATCTTAAAACTGTTTTATGTTTATATACTTGCTCATTTTAAACTCATTAGTACTACTTTACTTCCTAATATCTTTCAAGTAATTCGGTTTTATATTCAATAATTTCAACAATGCCCATTAAAGTCACACACAAGAAAATGTACTATAAATGTACGCTATTCTGCAGAATTTAGTATTCTGCAGAATTCGGTTTTCAGAAAATAGTTTTGATATCATGTTTAAAAAAATATTTATTATTAAGTTAACCATTTATATGTATGTTAAGTAATTTATTGGTAGGACCGTTTCCTTGGAACCAATTGACTAGTGTCTCATATACAGGGTGGTCCGAACTGTATTCCGGAAACTTCGGCAGCATATTCTGCTTTTAGGACATCAAAGAATCGGGTCTCGAAATAAAAAATTCCCAGTTCTTTCGGTACCAATTTTTTTTACTCGTTAATAAAATGTAATTAAATAGTATATTAAACAACGAGTTTCGAAAACGACGTTTTGCATGCGATTTCGACAGTTTGTTGGCTCGAGCCGCAGCGCAGGCAAGAGCCACAAGTCGAACGAGTGTACAAAGAAGTTTTCGAACGAGTTTTTTACGCTATTTTTCCTACGACTACAAATTAGCAGCAGTCTCACTCAGTTTTTGCCAGTTTTGTGAAATAATTTGCGATGTAATGATGACACTTTTCTGACGGCTGAGTTGCGTTTGGCGTTTCAGCTAAACATTGGAGGTTAAAAATGTTAAAATTGGCACATGTCGTGTGTAAAATGACACATGTCGCGCGCTAAATCCTTAGCACACAACAGTTTGCAAAACGCCAATTTCAGATCGAGTTTTCCGTGTATCAAACTGCATTTTCTAAGCTAGTCGTATAGAAAAAAAAAATATTTTTTGTTACATGCGAAAGTTCATTGACACTTTCTAGCGGTCGAAATCAAACTCTTTTAAATAAATAGTAATGTTATCTCTTATTGTTCTTAAAAAAGAAGTAGAAAAAAGACTCAAAAAATATATATAAACGTTGAGACCGAGACTTTGAGTCTTTTTTCTACTTCTTTTTTAATTTAAACCAAGTCTCTTTGAGAAGAATTGACGCCTTCTTTAAATTTCTTATTGTTCTTACTTATGAAGCTCTTTTGAAGTTCCTATAATGTTTATTAACAATTATTGAAATTTAGATGTTATTTTATTAAGTAGAATGTTGCCCAATATATTAGTTATATTTTATGTTGAATTTTTAGTTGAAATGTATTTTTTTTTTCAAATTTAGTTATAAATTGGATTATGTTGTTTGGTGTAAATGTTAAGTGTCCTATATTTTTTCGTTTTTCCTTCACTTGTGTTCATTTGTGTGGATTAGGCTTCAGAACCGGGAAATCCCGGTCTCAAAAGTATCATGAATTTCCGGTTCTTTTGAGCCATTAAAGAACCGGGGCTAGAAATAAAATTTCCCGGTTCTTTCAGTACTTTCGGTGCCGAATTTTCTTTACTGATTAAACAATTATTTTTTGTTACATGCGAAAGTTCATTGATAATTTCTAGCGGGCGAAATCAAACTCATCTATATAAATAGTGTTGCTCAATATATTAATTATATTTTATGTTGTTTTTATAGGTATTTGCATTTTTTTGACTGATTATTTAATAATTATTTTCATTAAAAACACATATTTCTATCGACTTTATTTTTGAAAACCCATCCCTTGCTTGCCGATTGACGAAATGTATCATCATTTAACAAACATTAGCCTGTACCGACAGTACCGCAAAAACCGGGAAATCCCGGTTCCTTAGAGACGTGCTACCGAAATTCCCGGTTCCGATAAACGGCTCCGGTTCCGGAAACCCTATTCTGCAGGTAAAAATAGGTAAAAAAGTTCGTATAAATGTATGACCTAAAATGCTTAGTTTCGGAGATACAGGGTATAGAAGTTTCTTTTTTATTTCGATTTTTTCAAAATAATTTCTGCAGTAACATCAATATTTGGATGAAAATTCATGTCTGGGAGTTTTTTGACATGAGAAATTTGATTTTGATGTCAATATAACTTCTAGTAGGGCGCCACCTACATATTTTTTAACTGGTTTGAATAGTAATACCTTTTCGTCTGTACCTGTATAAAACTACTGAGTAATAAAATATACATTTACGGCGTTTTTTTACGTAAAAACGGTGTCTTGATAAAAATCGTTACGAGTCATGGTTTGCGAGATATTTGGAAACGAAATTATCAATACCTGTTATCATTGAATAAATTAAACATGGTTACTAAATAGTTATTAGACTGAGGTCATAAATTTGATATATTTTTGTGCCAAAAGTCCAACAGAAACTGTTTTATCATCATTTTTTTGCAAAAAAATTTATAATTAATTTAAAAAAATAAAAATATACTAAATTTATTATTTCAGTGAAATAACTATCAGAGTGTTTATTTTTCAACAATAATGACATGTATTGACTATAGTTACTAAATATCTTAAGAACGGTTGCTCGTAGCGATTTTTACAAAGATATATTTTTTACGTAAAAAGTCACAGAGATGTATATTTTTTCCTCGGTAGTTTTATATAGGTACGGACAAAAAGTTATTACGCTTCAAAACAGTTAAAACACATGTAGGTGGCGCCCTCTACCAGTAGGAGTCATATTGGCATCAAAATCAAATTCCTCATGTCCAAAAACTTCTAGACACCAATTTTCATCAAAATATTGACGTTACTTCAGAAATTATTTGGAAAAAATCGAAATAAAAATGAAACTTCTACACCCTGTATCTCTGAAACTAAGCATTTTAGGATATACATTTATAAGAACTTTTTTACTTATTTTTATCTACAGAATATGCTGGCGAAGTTTCCGGAATACAGTTCGGACCACCCTGTATATTAGTTATATTTTGTTATGTTTTTATAGGCATTTGCATTTTTAATTGAAAATGTATTTTCTTCAAATTTAGTTATAGGGTTTGTGTTGCTTGGTGTACTTTTTTTTTTCTTTTTTTCTAAGTTTCCTATATTTTTTTCGTTTTTCCTTCACTTGTGTTCATTTGTGTTGATTAGGCTTCAGAACCGGAAAATCCCGGTCTCGAAAGTATCATTAATTTCCGGTTCTTTTGAGCCATCAAAGAACCGGGACTAGAAATAAAAATTCCCGGTTCTTTCAGTACTTTCGGCACCGAAATTTTTTTTTATGATCAAAAAATTATTTTTTGTTACATGCGATAGTTCATTGATACTTTCTAGCGGTCGAAATCAAACTCTTCGAAATAAATAGTGTTGCTCAATATATTAATTATATTTTATGTTGTTTTTATAGGAATCTGCATTTTTTTGACTGATTATTTAATAATTATTTTCATTAAAAAGACACATATTTCTATCGATTTTATTTTTGAAAACCATCCTTTGCTTGCTGATTGACGAAATGTGCCATCATTTAACAAAAAATTAGCCAGAACCGAAAGTACCGTTTCAAGAGACGTGCTAGAGACGTGCTACCGAAATTCCCGGTTCCGACAAACGGTTCCGGTTCCGGAAACCCTATTCTGCGGGTAAAAGTAAATAAAAAAGTTCGTATAAATGTATGTCCTAAAATGCTTCCAAACCCAAAGCAGGGACAGGGATAGGAGTATTTGGGCCGAAAACTGAATACTCCGAACCAATGGGCACCTACACCAGTATCCTTCAGGCAGAAATTTGCGCTATCGAAAGATGCGTACAATTTATCTTAGATAGGAACTATCGAAAACAGGAAATTGCCATCCTATCCGATAGTCAAGCAGCACTTAACGCGATCAACTCAGTAACCATCAATTCGAAGTTGGTCAAAGAATGCCTAGAGAAGCTCAACAAATTAGGCAAAGAAAATAAAGTCCTCCTACTCTGGGTGCCTGCTCACCAAGGGATAGAAGGCAATGAAAAAGCAAATGATCTGGCTAGAAGGGAGCGAACACTCCACTAACTGGACCAGAACCTTTCTGTTTTCCAAACGGGAACCAACTGAAAGCGGAACTGAAGAATTTGGAAGACTCCATCCGTAACTTGGAATGGGTGTCCTCCAACGGTCTAAGACTCTCGAAAAAGTTTCTTAGAACTTATGACCGAGAAAAATAAAAGGTTTTCCTTGATTTAAGTAAAAACAATCTTCGGATTGTCACGGGGTTTCTAACAGGACACTGTCTCCTCAACGAACACCTCAGTAGGCTGAAACTCAGAAACAACGGCGATTGCAGATTTTGTAGGAAAAATGGGGAAATACCAGAACACCTTATCACTGAGTGCGCCGAGACGACGACCATTCGTGCCATGAACCTTGGTACGTCTGATGTCGAGGATGGAGAGCTGACCTCTGTGGAGCGGTCTCAGATACTGGCTTTTCTTAAAGCCCTGAGACTGTATGATGAGTTATAACTCGTTATAACTCAAGAAACGGGAACACACAATAGATCTATAAGGTCGCGGTGATTAACTCCCCTCCTATACATTCTACATTCTACATTCTACATGTCCTAAAATGCTTAGTTTCGGAGATACAGGGTGTAGGAGTTTAATTTTTTTTTCGTTTTTTTCCAAATAATTTCTGAACTATAGTCGATATGTGGATGAAAATTGGTGTCTGGGTGTTTTTTGACATGATAAACTTGGGGATTCCCATGTCTTAAGAATTTCTTAAAATAAACTAAAGAGCAAAATCGGAACAGGCAAAACTATTTCAATCTTTTTGGATCGCCACGAATATTTCATGGTTAAAAACTTACGTGGGATGACTTAGGGGCACTTCCAGAACGTAATCCCTCGGAATATCAAAATAATCGGGATCGTGACCGTTTGCAGAAAGAACGAGCGGCAAAATATCCCATCTCGTTCCTTGTCCTTTCCAGCCGATCTTTTGGCACAGTTCCGTAAATTCCACATTAGCTGGATCCCCTGTAAACGAAAAAAAAGAATAAGAGCCATGTTAACCTGACCGTATTTCCATTTCGTTTATTGTTCTCACCTATAATTGAGCCGTCTGCTTGGCGATATCCAGCGTAACTGATAAGCTGCGGGTTCCAGACGCGGTAATCGTGCTTGCCATCTGTCCGTTGGGGAAATATAGTTATTGCCGATCTGGAAATTTATACATACATTGTCAGGTTTATTCATATTTTTACTAAAAATATAAATTCGAATATCACAAATACCTCTTTAAAAGTAAGCATTTACGTTTTACTGTTTTGCAAATTTCTAAGAGCGCTTAAGATAACTTTAAATATATCTAGGTATAATGATGGTATATCTACCGGGTGCGTCTAAAAAGTGGCTCATCCCTATAACTTTTTTATTTTTTCAGATAAAACAACGAGATTTGGTACGTTAGTATATGATATAAATTAGGATTGAATGACATAATAAATTGTTTTCGGTCACTTTCGGTTTCACCGGAAATGACTACAACTTTTGATTTTTAAATGGCACCCTCCGTATTTTTTTTACTTTATTCGATAGAAAGTGACACTCTGAATAGAATGACATATCATATGTCAACTTTCGACATTTTCACATATGGTTTATTTAAAATTGAACATGCGGTTCATAACGATAATTTGACTCGAAATGCCAAGTGTGTGGTATCAAATTATTCGTAAGCAAATGCTTTTTTCAAATATGCTAATGAGCCACCCTCGTTCCATTTGAAAAAATTGAGATATGATTAAAAATACGATTTGGGCATCTTTTAGCCGGTCAGAACAAGACACTGAAAATATTAAACGATCAAATCTATTTTTCCAAGGCTCCTTGGTTAAAAATTAGTATTTTTAACACAGCCATGGCACTCTAGATAGAAATTTAAAATACTATTTGTTTTTGAGCAAATATATCAAAAGTTGACGTATTATATGTCATTCGATTCAGAGTGTCATTTTCTATTGCATAAAGTAAAAAAATACCGAGGGTGCTATTTAAAAATCAAAAGTTGTAGTCATTTCCAGTGAAACCGGAAGTGACAAAAAACAATTGGATATGTGACTTGTGATTGGACTAGCGTGTACCAGCGACTTCGTTCGCGTCGAATTAATCATTTGTAATGGTGAAGATAAGGCAAAGCAAGAATTTCCATTAACATACAAACTGGATAAAATTTTCTCACATTTATGTCAGCATGAGAAAAAACAATATGGCGATATTATTATATAACTTGGTAATATTTGAGGGGCAGTTTCATCTCGTTGGAATTTGACTTTTGAAAAATTCGTTTGCCAAAAATAAGCTTTTTACGTCAAGCAGTTTAAGCAGAATCGAAATTTTTGGAACACCCTGTATGATTTAAAAAAAAAATTCAAAATATGTAAAAAAACAAATAAATTATCCTTCCGCATCCAAGCGTTTTCCCGAAAGACTAACCGTTTTTTAAATAACAAATATTGTAATATTTGAGGGGCGTTTTCACCCTCTTGGAATTCGAGATTCGAGAAACCTTCCCTTATCGAACCTCTACACCCCACAGTCAATCCGTTTGCCAAAAATCAGATTTAAATGTCAAGCAGTTTAAGCAGAATCGTGATTACTCAATGGTCATATTTTATGAAACACCCTGTATTAATTTATAAAAAATCTTAAAATATGTAAAACAACAAAATAAAATATACGTGTTTAAGAGTATTTCTGAAAAACTTACCGGTTTTTAAATAAAAAATATTTTAATATTTGAGGGATAGTTTAACCCCTTAGAATTCGAGTTTTGAAAAATCCCTTCGTATCGAACCTCTTCACCCTAAAGTCAATCTGTTTTCCAAAAACCAGCTTTTTACGTCAAGCGCTTTAAGCAGGATCGTGATTAATCAATGACCAGATTTTTCGAAACACCCTGTTTACATTTTCAAAAAATCTTAAAATATGTAAAAACATAAAATAAAATATACGTGTTTAAGCGTTTTTTCAGAAACTTGACCGTTTTTTAAATAAAAAATATTGTAATATTTGAGGGGTGGTTTCACCCTCTTGGAACTGCAATTTCGAAAAATCCCTTCTTATCGAACCTCTACACCCTAGAATCAACCTGTATGCCAAAATTGAGCTTACGTTGAGTGGTTTGAGCAGGATCGTGATTAATCAGTATGTCAGTCACTTAAGGATTTTATATATTAGTATAGATACCAAATCTCGTTGTTTTATCTGAAGAAATAAAAAAGTTATACGGGTGAGCCACTTTTGAGACGCACCCGGTATACTGATTTCTCATCTACCTATGACATACTTCATATGCAGGGTTGTTCAATGACGTGCTAATATTTAGGGGTGGATTTTGGGACCTATTTGAGAATAAAACTCCATCTGGATATTAGTCTAAACATCTTAACTTTTGAGATAAATGGCGGTAAATTTTTCTAAAATATTTTTTTAAATAACTTCAATAGTAATATAAAGATAAAACCAACTTACTAAAAGCCATTTGCGTCATCACCGCAAGACAGCGCGGAAAGTTCTATCTCACTTCAACCTATATATACCGGAACCGGAGTGAGATAGATATAATGACGGTCTCTTTCACCTATAACGCTCTTGGATTTTAGTAAATTGGTTTTATCTTTACATAATTCTATGAAGTTTGATACACGTCTTCTATCAAAAGTGTCATAAATAATGGAGAAAAACAAGAATAAAACATTATCAGTGGTAAGAAAATTTGTCCGGATTTAAAATTATTAATGTGTATTTTGAAAGAAAGTGAAAGTGAATTCGGTTAAGTTCAGAAATGGTAGAGGGAATTATAAAGATGCTCATTTTGGACTCCATTTTAGACTCCAAAAACTCCATTTTATGCAACAAGTTCAATTTTAGTATTCAAATTTTCAAATTCAAAATATAATGCTAAGCATTAAAAATTACGCCTTTGGACTTATATCGCTCCTTTGTTTCGTAGTTTAGTACATTTTGATTCAATCTCTCAGTATTCAGTTTAATCATTCCCTAGCTATTTTGTTCTCGTTGTGATTCTCGCTTTTATTTTTGAAATGAAACTTCTTTACGCATGATGGGAGTAAAAATTCAATGCTGTGATACACAAGCTAGCGCCAGGAAAAGTGGTAACGATCTTGGAGTGACTTAACTCGGGCTTTACGTGAGCTAGGAGGCGAAATTCGGAATGTAGATGCCGTAGATGTATGGGTCGATTGGAACCAAACTCAAGGTACTCGAATTGAGTCCTTAGACGGGCAGACGGGCAGACAGACAGACGGAAGTATGAAGAAGTTTCACTCAAATATGCGCACATAGTGCACACACAATTTTTTAGTTTAGTTCAATTGATCGAATTTTGTCGATCCAACTGATTGAACCATTTAGTCCACATACGAGATTCAATTTTTTGAAGTAGTTTGGTTGCCTTAGAAAATATGCCCGCAAGTTCCCCAAAAATAATTTTCTTCGTGGAGTGTATTTACATCTAATATCTGAACAACTCCTAACAAATTGTCTGTACTATTTTTTTTTGGAATATTTTGTGGATAAATTGTCATTTTGTCCTACTTAGTGGTCTCTAATGACAGAAATTCCCTTTATTTTACTTCCTTTTTCCACCTGGTTGCGCCTTATAAATATAATTTTAATTTGTAATTCTATTAGTCCTTCACGACCCCGACACTCTTCGTGTTGAATAGTGTGAGTAACCATCTAAGTAAAATATTGCAATAGAGAAAAATGTGACAGAACAGAATACATGTAAAAATTATTTTATTTTTTTTTAGAAATTTTAATAAAAATTGAATACATTATGAATATTGCACAAGATATTTGCTTATATTTGTTTCAAGTATATGTTTGTTTAGTTTAAGTATGGTTTATATTTATTTCAATTTTTTTATATGTGCTTAGCGAAGCGTTTAGGTTTCAGTCGACAGAGCTATCTTTGGTTTTATATTTTTTTTTCTTGAAACTACCGATAACGTAAAATTTGACAGACCGTAACAATTTTGCATAGATGTTCACTTTATACTAATAGTACACATCAATAGCAACTTCTGTGACAGACAAAGCATTTTATGTTGGATAGCCATCTCACGCACGCGTTAAAAAATGATGCCGATACCGTACCCGATATATAATGTAAAATAACCTCAGAGGGGGTTATTCAAAATTCTGTTTGTGTGTGTACGATACCCTTCAGCGCTTATCTCAATATTGTGTAGCGTCGTTTTTCTCGTATGTTCTTTTAATGATAATAATTATATATTTCTTAGTTTGTATAAACAATCGTAGCATTCTATTATAGCTGATGCCGTACATAAGGTCTAAGTTTCTTCTTATGTAATTGTCTGCATTATGGCGAAACACGAAAAAAAGCGTCATGTCAAAATTTCTCGGAGGTCTCCAACAAGACTTCACGCACTCAAAATTGAAATCGTTTATTAAACGTTTTGCCCTATTCAATTCCGATTTCATTGTTGTTTAGGTGGGAGGAGGTATTTGGTTTTTGATTCGTTTATTTTTATTCGATATGTTTTAGATTTGTTCTTCAGTTTCACACGTCTTTCAGTGGCGGTTCGTGGGTATAAAAATAGGTGAAGAGTTAATTTTCTTTAAATTGCGCCGCAGGTGAAATTTTTTTTGCGCATTCACCATTTTGTCGACATTTTTAAAATTATTATTTGAACATTTTTTGGTGTATTCACCATTTTGTCAACATTTTCTTTGGTATTATTTATACACTAATACCTATAATATTTTCCTTTTAGTGTGAGCTAAAACGCATTAAGTAAAAAGAGATACAACCAGTTTTCGATAAACACATTATTTTGCGTTCCAGTGAAAATATAATTAAATTTAAATTAAATATAATAAACATTATATACAGTGTCCACCATAAAGTTGGATCCATATGGACGTTTTTTTTATATTAGAGTTTTAAAAAATTTCGTTCTGAATGGTTTTCGAATCTCCACTAAAAACGTTTTTAATTTTTCCATAATGTTTAATTTCCAATGGGCTTATTTCAATTAATATATTTAATAACTCCTTAAAATTTCCTCTGTTCACTGAGTCAATCCTTTCATCTTGCCCACGAAAAGGCAACTCTTGCTTGCTTACATATAAAACTGCTTGAATAACTTGAATAACGTAAACAAAGTCTA